ACCCCCACTATTTCTCGTTTTAAATGGAAATCGTGTCTCAAAGAAATCAGCATCAATGGATTCTATTACAGTACGAGCATTCAAATCATAGAATCTATATGCCTTACTATTGGCCGCATAGCCAACGAAGACACATTCATATGCTCGACTGGCCAACTTAACCCTCTTAGGATCAGGAATTCTTACGTAGGCCAAACAGCCCCACGTTCTTAAATAGGACAGATTAGGTGGCTTATTCTTCAAAATCTCATAGGGTGATTCTTTTCTATTTGTTTTTGGAAGACGATTTAGCACATAGCAAACCGTCAACAAAATATCACCCCACCAAGAAGAAGCAGCTCCAGAATTGAGCATAATAGCCACAACTAATTCTGTAAATGTCCTATTTTTCCGCTCAGCTTTACCATTCATTTCTGGTGAATATGGTGCCGTGGTTTCATGAATGATACCATGTGAGCTATAGAATTCCTTGAAGAGATTAGAGTCATACTCTGATCCTCTATCGCTCCTAAGTCTTTTTATCTTTCGATTGCACTGATTTTCGAATTCAACCACAAATACCTTGAACATGTCAAGGGCTTCACTTTTGTTTTTCATCAAATAAACAAAGCAATAATCAGAGCAATCATCTATGAAAGTGATAAAGTATCTCTTGCCAGACCTAGTTAACGTCCCATCTAGTTCACAAATATCAGAATGAATCAGATCTAAGGGTTCTGATTCTCTACTCACAGATTTATGGGGCGTTTTCGTTATTTTAGCTTGGCTACAGAAATCACATTTATCAAATTCATTCATTGAGAGTTTAGGGATATGCCCTAGCTTGCTTAAATTCTTCACAATTCGTGTGTTCACATGACAAAGACGAGCATGCCAAACATTCAAATCACACACCATGTAAACTGAAGAATTCATCTTATTAATTTCGACATTCAACTTGAACATCCCATTACATGCATATCCCTTTCCCACAAAACTCCCATTCTTAGTAAGGGTATACAAGTCTGCCCCAATAGATTGATTAAACCCAGCCTTATTAAGAAGATATCCCGAAACAAGATTCTTCCTTATCTCTGGAGTGTGCAACACATCTTTGAGCACCATCTTCTTCCCAGAGGTGAAGTTCAGCTCCACTTCACCAGAACCAGCAACCATGGTGGTGTGAGTAGTTCCCAACAACACTTTCTTGTCAGCAGGTGCTTCTTCGTATGTTTTAAACATAGCACGATTGTTGCATACATGCTTCGATGCACCTGTATCCAGCCACCATCCTTCTGAGTCACCGGTGAGGTTAACTTCAGCGATCATATCTGTGATCATGGCTACCAAATCCTCTTCTGTCAAGTTAACCCTGGCCGCAGCGGCGGGGTTATGCTTGTTCCTGCACTTTTTTGCCATATGACCCGGTTTTCCGCAGTTAAAGCAGATAAACGGTGGGTCATTCTTAGAGGTGTGGGCCATGACCCTTTGGTTACCTCGAGAGGCACCATTCTGTTGGGGGCGGACCTGCTGGTTCTTACCCTTAAACCCTTTCTGGTTAGGTTTAAGAGCTCTAGGGGTGGGTCGTTTAGCAGTGACGACCATCACCTCTTCTTTCATATCCTGCTTGCGGGACTCTTCCTCAATCCTTAGGCGAGTAATCAAACTTTCCAGTGAAAATTCTTTGGTTTTATGTCTAAGCATATTCTTAAAATCTTTCCACGAAGGGGGCAGCTTATCAATAATGCAAGCAACTTGAAATTGATCGTCCAGAGGCATACCTTCAGAGACGATCTCGTGAGCTATTTTCTGAAGTTCGTGGGACTGAACTTCGACAGACTTGTCATCCACCATCTGATAGCGCAGGTAGCGGCTGACAGCATACTTCTTAGCTCCAGCCTCCTCCGTGTCGTACTTCTTTTGGAGCGCATCCCAGACCATCATTGCGGTGTTCTTGCTGTCCGCATAATAGTCGTAGAGGTCGTCTGCCAGGCCGTTGAGGATGTAGCCCTTGCATAGGAAGTCATGCTCCCTTTCCTTAGCAGCAGCAGTCCTCTCCTCATCGGTCGCTTCTTCCGGCAGCTCGACGGGCATGCTAGTGAGGCAGTGTGCCAACTTCTTGGTCGTCAGGTAAAACTCCATCTTTTGTTTCCAGCGACGAAAGTTGACTCCAACGAAGCGAAACGGTCGATTGATATCGACAGCACCAGATCCGGCCATGTTGTTCTGTTCAGTCGACATAGCAGCAGCCGAACGTCTTAAAATTGTTAGAAACGGAACAACAACAAGATGAAGATACCGAATCTGGAGCTGAGTCGCGGACTAGGTCGCTTTCTTTAAGACGTTCGCGGCACTGCCCTCGATGCGCACGGCAGACTATCAACCGGTCGTCTCCAGGATAAAACAGCTCCTCTGGGTACTCGCGGTTTTGTGCGAAAACCGGAGCTCTCTGAACACTCTCTCTATTGTGTTTATGCTCGTTGTTGTGTGTTTAGAGGGGCTGGGGAGGCGGCTATTTATAGGAGCCGAACCCCTAGGAATATACCCTCTTGCTTGGGGAATAAGTCGGATTAATTAAGGAAGATAATTACTTCCTTAATTAAAACCGTCGGTTAGGATAAATCCTGCGGAGATTATCCTTCGAATATTCCTTTTCAATCGATTATCCCTTGGAATATTCCTCAGAGTAACCGATTAATAATTAATTATTAAATAATTAATTTCGTTCGGAATTTCTCCAAAAAATATGTATATAGTCTCAAGTGATCCATCCATCCAACCAACCAACCAACCGGCCGGTCGGTCGGACGGACGGACGGCGCGCGCGTGTGTGGTGGTCCGTTAGGTCCTCCCTCTCCCACAAAAGTGGGTCACCCCAAGGGGCATGCACTTAGGAGAGAGGCTCCTATCTTTATAATCACTTCACCAAGTAAAACTACCAATGTGGTAGTTTTTCCACTTGAGACTCTATAGCTTTCAAAGCTATTCATACACATTTCCAACAGTAGGCACCGCTTCCTTTTATTTATTTTTTTGTCCCAGTAGCGCTACTTTAGGTCACTCCAACTCTCAATTTCTATCTCTTCTATTTGGTTGCTGAGAAAATTGTGTAAAATTTTACGAAGATTCGAATTCATCACCTATTTGGCTTTCCTGCTCGACACCATGATGGATTCTTCCTAGCACACTTTCTTCTCATAAATCCAAACATTCGCAGGTTGGCAATAAATCAATGGCACAGAGGAGTTTCACCCATATCAAAACGCAAGGCCACTTTATGACAGGGTATGGTGCTTGGGTCGGGAGGGTTTGAGTGTGTTCGGCTGGGTTTAGTTGGTTGATTTTTTTTGGATTGTTTACTAATATTTTAGTTGATGTTGCATGCTGACTGTGCTCTGTGGATGGATTTTTAGACGGAAATTGATGGAATGATCTTTTTGTTATTCGTCCAAACATTTTTTACTAAAACGTGCAAAATTAAATTTTAGTGACCGTTTTGCACTAAGTGATAATTTGTGTGACCATTTATGATAATTACCCGTCAACATAGAGTAATTAATGAATTTTGATTGGAAAATTATTATATTTAGAACTGGCTAAGAGAAAAGATAATCCAAACACAACTCAATTTGCTATGTCTAATGTGTTTGGAATGATAGGGACTTGAGGGAAGTCAAAGTTTGCATGTATGTGAAAATGCCTGAACCTTTGTTGTTGAAATCATATTCACATACCGAAAATGAAATAGAAGCAAATGAGGATCATAATGGAATTTTAATGGATTCACAAACTACTGCTACTTGAGAGGGGTCAAAATACATGTCTGCAGAAAGTGCTAGTGTTTGTTTGAGTATAAAAGCTAGAAAGGAAAAAGGAAATCTATGAACTATAATGGGTTTATTAGAGTTGTAATACCAAAAGGTTTAACGATTCCTATTCAGTTTTTTGGAAAACAAACAGTGAATATTGTGAAGTTTATCAAGAGGAGTGTCGATGCATACCCTCAAATTTATGCATTCAAGTCAGATTTCATATTTATTTGCATAGAAAACTTGAGTGCTTGATACTCTACAAAATTATATTCATTGTGTATTTAGGAACAAAAATAACATGTTCACGACGATGTATTATATTATGATAATATTTAAATTATACCAGGATGATATACATTATCAGAAAATTTAATAAGAATAAATTGAAATTGGTATCGTTATAATACCTCAACCACTACATCTATCCAATAGTTTAAGATTTGTTGGTAAAGTTTACCTTATTAAAGTTATGCAACCTTTTGTTAAAAAAAAAGTTATGCAACCAAACTTTACTCAAGGTTGCACATCTTCACGCATATAAGAAAAAGAAAGGAATTATAATTACATTAGAAAAAAGTGAAGGCTATGCTTTCATAATTGTGCATTGAAAAAAGAATGGGAATGATGTAGAAAACAAACATAAAACATAATGAAATTGGAATTGCATAGAATAAAAGAAAATTATATCGTTTTCAATATGGGAGGAAAGTTGGCTTGCATGATTTTTACAAATACGTCTTCATATTGTTGGACCATCCGTTCGTTTATGTATATTGTGCAGTTATTTATATAATTTTCTTTTTTTAAAATATTTATAAAATTGTCATTCAATGCATTCGGTATTTTTTACATTCCTCTGATTATGTGCGTTGTTTAACTATGTTAATGGACTATGCCTACTACTTATTCGTCGAAATGCCCATGAGACAACATTCCATGTCTGTGGCTGTGGATTCGTCTTCTTAACCATTACCTATGCATTCCAAGGGAGCGATTCCACTCTGGTTCACTCTTTTATTGATTCGTTGATTCACAATTCATGAGTTTCTTGACAACAAATCATGTTATTCGGTTCATGAAGTCCTATCAATAAGCGCATTAAGGTTGGTCGCTGATGACTGATGATTTGCCTTTTGCAATTGTGTTACCATGAATGAGATATGTTCAACATCAAAATTATGGCAAATTAGAAAATGGGATTTGACTCAATTAAATGGCTGAAATTGTCTGCAGAAGATTCCCATCAGAAGATCCACCTTCTACAATCGCTCCCCTCCATATCTTCCCCAACTCTTGGGCTCTCTCCCTAAATTCCGTCACCTCACTTTGCCCTCCATCCATAAGCCTCTTCACCACTTCACATATCTCATCTCTCGTCACCAATTCATCCTCCACCCCCATCCTCTTCACCCTCCAGCCGATCCTCCATTTCTTGACAATTTGCCTACTATTCGTAACCTGATCAAATATCAGAGGGAAAGTAAGCATCAGTACTCAACTGTAAACACCTTCCAATATTGAATTCCACCCGCAATGCGTCCAGAACCCTCCCACTAAACCATGGGTCAGCACCTTCAGCTGGTCGCGCCATGGAACCACCATCCCTTTCTCACCACCGCCACAACTTTCTTGTAACCGATCACGCTCCCCGCGAGCCACCAAAAGGAAAGGAACATAGCTGTCTCTAAGACCCCCCGCCATTTCATCCATTTGCTGCTTGGAGATGGAGAAAGAACTCTCTAGTGATACATACAAAACAGAGCCTTCAGGCTGGGAATCCAGCCATTGCAGCAAATAGGATGCTTGTTGAGTATCTGGAAATTTGTTGTTGTTATTGTTGAGTTCAGGAAAGGAATGGTGGGTCCAATTAGGTAGATTGGGGATGGGAACTTAAGTTTCAGAGCCTTAAAAACTTCAGATTCAAGCTCCTCAATGGAGTTCACTATGAGGAATTCAACTTTTGGAATCCATGAGCGACACTCCAAGCTTTGGTTCATGATGACTCGGTTATTCCCTCGAATATGGATTGTAGATCTGCTACATCTGGAGGAGAAATTCAATGGATTGAATAGTCTCCAAGATTGTCGCCGTGATTTATATATAAAAAAAACCCCAAAAGATTTCACTGTTAAGGGGGAAATTAAAACAGAGCAAAAGAAAAACAGAGTCTATGAAAGAAAAACAGAGCAACTTTTAATCGTTATGTTGGTTTTAAGAAACTAGGAAAGTCGAAGAAATAAAGATTCCACTCAAGATCTTTTCTGTGATCTAAACCACATAAACAAACAGAGTGTACGAAAGAAAACATTACAAAAAAATAGATCACGTCACAAATGGTGTCGTTTGATTGAAAAGAATTGGCAAGACTAAAGGAAATTATAACACTAACCCAGGATATGATCTCACAATGGAAGGCCTTCTACGCGGGGTGAATTGATGGAAGAGATAATACACTCTGGAAGGGATAGTACAAAACATGGAGACCGAAATCTTCCGCCGGCGGCCATTCGGATAGCCAATTGAGCTCATAGTCGGAGATCAACGCGGTAATTGGCGGGCCCAAAATCCGGTCGAGGAGACATCGAAGTGAGTTTCCATTTTGGTGACAACGGCTGCTAGAAGTCTATGTAGCAAATTGTAATTACCCAATTATTATTTTAATTACGTTTTCAGTTTTGGTAGGTTTAGGCGGCTAGGTATATAAGTTTGATAGCTGCCTTCGTTGTAAGATAAGCTATTTTGCAGGTTTATACGATTTACTCTGAGAGGTTGGTTCTCTTCGTGGATTAGTCTCAACGATACTCATTGAGGATATCACATTAAATCTGTGTTGTTCTTTCTCCTTGATCTTGGTTTACATGGTATCAGAGCGTCGGGCTTGATTCAGTCATTGTGGCACTTCAGTATTCTAGGTTGTCTTTAGTTTTGGGTTTCTTCTGGCTATTTCGTCGCTTTAGGGTTTTCTTATCTACAGTTCTCGGTTTCGTCTCGGGGTTCTTGGCTTCCAATTTGCTTTTTCAGGGTGCCGCTGCTTCTTTTTTTATTTTATTCGGTAGGGTTGTTCTCGCTACAGGTTTGGGGCTTTGGTCTTGTCTTGTTGTTGGCTGGATTTTTTTATTGCACTCATGATTTATTTTCATGGAGGCTTCCAGGATGGATGGGTGCTCTTCCGTTTCAATGGAAGGAACTATTCTCTTTGGGAATTTCACTTCCGCTTGTTTTTCCAAGGGAGCCGGATGTTTTCGATTCTCGATGGCTCCCTCTCGGAGCCCGCTGGTAATGCGCCGAACAATGAGAAGGAGGACTGGGCCATTAACAATGCCTAGGTGATGACTTGGCTCCTCGCATCGATGGAGCTTGTGATCACTCTCAGTTTGGGTGGGTTCACCACCGTCCATGCAATGTGGCGTCGTCTCGGTTATCTCCATTCTCAATCTACTGCTTCCCTCAAATTCGAGTTAGAACTGGCTATGGCCAAACTTACTTAGGGGGATATGGATGTGAGAGCCTACTATCAGGCTATCGTCACGTTGTCGATGGAGCACGACATGTTAACCTTATCGCTGGTTTTCGCGGCTTCTTCGACTGAAGTCCTTACTGAGCGTTCCAGTTCTTGTCGCATCACAATGTTACTAAATTAGAGGATGCGTTGGGCGAGATGATTCACGAGGAGACATGATTAAGAAGTTAGGTGAAGTTGGATATCCAGCCTTTCGATTCTTCTCCTGCCGCCTTCACTGCTGGCGCGCCTCCTTCTGGTGCTTCCTCTTGTTAGACTCGTCTTCCTTTGCTGTAGGTGTGGCGCGTCCTTTGTTCCAAAGAACGGCAGGAGGTGAGGTGATTTGTTATTACTGCAAAGAGTTGAGGGCACGTTCAACTCCACTATCCCAAACGCAATATATGAAATTATTGTAAGGCATCCGAGCATAAGATTGGTGCTTGCCCGATACTTGCTCGTCGTGGTCGTGCTTGCCCACCTTCTGGCTCGGCTTCTTGGGGCTCGTCTGGTGGCCAGGCCTATGCTGCGTCTTTGGTCTCCTCCTCGGCGGAGGGTATTACTTAGGACACCATTCGTCGTATGCTTCAGGAAGCGGTTCGAGATGTGCTTCCCTCTGCTCTAGGCTCGATTTTTCCTGTTGGTACGCCTTCTTGCTCTTCTCCTACTTGGCATCTCGACTCCGCCGCTTTCAATCATATGATTAGCTCTCGGTCTTCTTTTAGTAAGCTTCACCCTACGAGTTTAGTTCAGTTACAGGTTGCGGATGGTACACGACTGCCTGCGGTTGGGGTAGCCTGTGGTCATGATAACACCAAAATTGGTGATATTTACGCTACATACTGAGGCATGATTTGTGCCAATTCTTGTGTTTAAATGCTTCAACATCGTCAAATACATCCCTATTGCGTTCCTATTTGATTTCAATATGATTTTAGGGTGTATTAGTCGATATGTGCGGATTAGATACAAAACAAGGTCACAAGTGTAGAGAAGGGGCAGGAATTGAAGATCATGGTCTAGAAGCCAAAGATCACAGGGATTACTAGCCGCGAAGTCCAGCTGAAGATCACAGCCCAGAAGTCATAGAACGGGACCGCGATCTTGGAGGCTCAGGGGGAAAACTTCGTGAGGAAGGAGCCTTGGAGAAGCAGAATGTCTCCTCAGGCAAGTCACGTCCAACGTTCACATTTCCCACGAGGAAGATCGCGGCCGCTTGATCACGACCGCAAAGTCAGCCCGCAATCTTCCCCTTTCTGAAGGCCTCAACGACTGCATTTTGATATCACGACCCAGAGACCAAAGATCTCGCCCGCGATCTCCTTTCCTCAGGCCGCGAACTTTCCCGAATCCAGAATGCCTATAAATAAAAGACCCCTTTCCCCTTTTGAGGAGAGCTGATTTTGAGAGAAATTTTCTGCTTCTACAGAGAGAGAAGAGGGTGAATTTGAAGGAAGGAGAAGAGAAGGAGAAGGAGGAGGAGCTAGGAGCAAGGAGGCATCTTCTTCAACCCCAACTCTTCTTCTATTTCTACCATGTATCTTCTTCCCTCCTTTATGGAGTAATCCTCTTAGATACTAGGGGTTCTAAACCCCAAACCCTAGTTTTAGGGTTTACTATGTATGTATGGATATTTTAGGATTTGAATGAATGAATGTGTTTGTCTAGTTGATTTTAATGCCACTCTTTCCTAAATGATGATGCTTCAGTAAGTCACCATAATCTTCCCACTTAGCCTACTTTATGCTACCGAGCTAGGTAAGGAGTTCTAGGGTTAGACGGGTATGCGCCATCTGGCGAGTTTAGGATAGATGTGTGAATGGGGGCCTATAGTGGTCGAGGCGACCGAACCCCTGCTATAGGTAGCCTTCCTAAATGAAACCGGGATAAAACCTCGATGTGGACGTTGGATAGTATCCATTGAAATGAGACATAAGCTTAATGCCCCAGATACGATATCCTTATCGAGGTGACTATATACTCGAAAGCACATGGATAACAACGAAGGCCCACGGAAAAGAGTTCACTCACCACATTCGATGACCCTAGGTATCTAAACATTCATAGTAACCCTAAACAAGGGGAGGGATAGTTCCCCGAAGTACCTGCTTTTAGCTTTCATCAACCTCTAGACTAGTATGTCCTCATATCCTCCACTCAAAACCTCAAAAACCGATTAACTACTTAGTAACTTGGTGGGAAGATGGCTAGGGTATCATGACCCGAGTCGAATACGACCTTAATTACCACTATACGACAATGCCGTCCTAGGTTAAACTTGGCCTTTGCTGGGATAGTTGTTGATACGTGCTAACCTCTGACAATAACCTGCATGGATTCAAGTGATCAAGCTTTTTGGCGTCGTTGCCGGGACCCTTGGTAACTAGTAGAAAACCACTAAGTTGTTAGTTAGTCTTTATCTTGTTTTGTGTGTCTGTTTTATTTTGCGTTATTGTTTGTGTTTTTGTTATTTTCACGTTTATTTCTTTTCGTGCTTTGTTTTTCACCCACTCTTCTCCCCGAAAGGTGGTTGTGTGTGTTTGATTTTATTTTTAGTGTTTTTGTTTGTGTAGAAGCTTTTGAATCATGGATCCTTATGATTTCACCAAAGTGTGGGGGTATTCATCAATACCCGAAGATGGTTACCCCGAAGCTTCATGGAACAATCAAGATAGTGGAAGTCAAGGGTTCGGATTCTTTTACCAACCCCCATTCCAAGAAGAAGAATCATACCAATGGGGATATGAAGAGGCTTCCTCATTCTGAGAATATATCCTTCAACCACCGGAGCCAAGAAGCGAATTGTAACTCTTGGTGGAACGGTTTACCTGGGGATCCGATGGAGCATGCTCAAGTGTGGAACTAGGAATGGCAATGGGGCAGGTTCGGGGCGTGTATCTCGATACCCATATCCGTCCCGTGGCATGTCTGGTCCAGGTCGAGTAATTTATCACGGGACGCGGTTCGGGACAGATCTACCCAAAGTGTATCTAATTTACGTGAAAAACATTAGAAATATTCGTTATTTTCATTAAAAGACCAAGAAAGAAACCATAATATGATAAAATGTAGTTAAATTATTGGAGAAATTAAGGTTTTCACTTATTTACAGCTTTATATAATATGAGGTAATAAGAGGAAAATCCTAAATAATTTGACTAAGATTACATGTAAGTTAGACAAAAACGGGTCAAGAATGAGGCGGGTCGGGACA